GGGACAAGTCCGACTAGTCAACCTGACCCTAGTACCGGGTCAAATCGATTTCAGCCGGGAATTAACACTGTTACTGGTGGTATTTTATATTATGACCCAAGAAAAGATAGGGAAGAATTGGCAAAAATGGTTACTGTTATGTGCTTACCCTACTGTTATGTGGTTACTGCAGATCTTGTAAAATTTGTTTGCTCATTTTTCAGAGGGTGGGGAAATTTATGAAGTAGCTATTGATTCTATGAGAAAGAAATTTAAAAAATATTTTTCCCTATTTCCCCTATTTATGGTATTGCTGCCTTGTTAAATCTTACTATGGAATTAGGTGGTCCTCAATATTGGTATCGATCTATTTATAATGGTTTAGCACTTGAAGCTGAGGAGTTGTCTACACTTTCGGACGCACAAGCCTCAATTAAAATAAATGCTCTAACTATTTATAGTGCTTATCAAATTGCAATAGATAATGCTAGACCAGATATTCCAACTCCTTCTTCTTCTAGTTCTCAAGCATCTAAAAGAACTGCAGGAGTAAGAGCACTTACTGCTTGGACCGAGTTCAGGGGTTCTCAAGGTTGTAGCACTAGTGATTGTTCACAACTAAATGAGCTTGAAGTTTATTTGTCATAGGGACTTGAGGAAGTGAATCCCGACGGCTCATTTAATCTTTTGGAATGATAGAAGGACAAAGAAAAATACTTTCCGATCCTTTCAAGGATGGCCCGAGACATTTTAACCATTCAAGCTTCAACAGTGGCATCAGAGAGCGCTTTCAGTCAAGCAAGACTTCAAATCGGTGATTATAGAGCGTCTATGAGGGAGAGCTTGGATAAATCAGTACTTTTCAGAGATTGGATCCGTTCAGAACGAACAAATTTTGGACTTGCAGAAACACAACCAGAGGTAGACGAAGCTTACGAAGAAATGCTAGCTGAACTTGCGAAAGATGCAGCTTCGCCCGGAAGCGTGATGAACAAGCTTCTTTTTCGCCACCACCAACGGAAATTCCTCCGAACCTTGAAGGATTTATGAAATTTGTAAGAGATACCATGTAAAATTAATATTTAACTTGTATTTTGGCACATCTTGATTAGTTTCTTTTTCTTCTCAATGGTGGTATTAGCACTTTGTTGTGCTCATTCCATTTCGGGGGAGGGGGGAAGGCTAAGAAAGATTGGGCCATGTTTTCTTAATGTCATAATAATAAAACTTATAACGCATTCCTTGGAATATCTTTTTATAATATTTTGTGTTTTAAATTTAAATTAAATTTTTTTAAGTCACAACTATATAATATAATTTACAAGAAATGCCTTAGATAAAAAATTTAAACAAATAAATAGCCCCACAAATAAATAGGCCCACTTAGGCCACCATATATATATATATACAAGCTATATAATTTACAAGAAATTGCTTTAGATAATTTTTTTTTTAAAAGGTCAAGGCCCACTTAGGCCCGTTTAGGACCGGGCCCGGCCCACATAGCCCGGGACCATTAGTTCGTGGTCCCGGTCAGGTTACAGCCAAAAGCCCACGAAGTCCGGAACCGTTTAAGCCCGGCCCATTTAGGACCGGCCCGCGAGGCCCGTTTAAGACCGGGCCCGGACCGTTTGCCACCCTTTGCTGCAACACTGAGTTGAAATCTCCTCCAAGGACCCATGGTTTGTTGAGCCCATGTCCAATCTCAATAAGATTTTCCCACAATTGTTTCGTCTGCTCAATAGTGTTGAATCCATAGACATAGTGAGTAGACATTCCCGATATCCTCTGATTCCATTAACTAGGCAATGAACAGCTTGTGCTTCTGCTCTAATTAAAGTAACCTTATAATAAATGGGATCCCATATTATCCAGATTCTCCTATTAGTTGCACATGTGTAATTGTGCAAAATTTCCTAGTCAGGGGCAATATGGGAGCAAACTTTCTTCATATTATGTTGCTTAACTCGAGTTTCTATGATACCAGCAAGCTTTATGTTTCTAACTATAAGATATTTCTTCAGTTCTTTCTGCTTGTACCATTTATTAATGCCCCTAAAATTCCATATTAGCCAAGTCATAGATTCTTGTGAGTGCCTCCACCTCTGTCATGAGGTAGAGAGGAGCTCACACTTGTACTCGTAGACCCTTTATGGAGACTATTCGTACTCACAGGAGAAGTCAGTAAAGGAAAATTTTCTAAGTTCATCACTGGACTTTCAGCCCCTTTGCCTTTACCTGTTGACCTCATTCTTGTAGCATCATTTTCAACAGTCTCTTGAATCTTTCTCGTCTCCTGTGGAAAATTAGCTTCCTTAGTCACCACAGCTGAGCTAACTTGTTCCTGTTGTTGTGCCGTGGGAGTTTGTGGGTTAACAGTTTCAACCCCCACTGGTCCTTTAGTTCTCCATTCATATGTTACTTTCTTTTGTTCTCTTCTTTGTTTTGGCTGCTCATTCTGTTGCATCTTAGGCCCTTGTTGAGCACGACATATGTGCCCAATCTTTTGGCATTTGTCACAATAATTAGGCTTCCACACATACACCAGCTGTTGTTGGAATTTTCTGCCTCTAGGATCCATAACAGCTATCTTTGTTAGCAAGGTCTTTTGTTACATTAACTTCTATCAACATCCTCGCATAGGAGATTCTTGTTTGCTTAGTAGTACATTCGTCTGCAAATAAAGGTTTTCCAATTGCACTGGCAATCTTACTTAAAGATTCATTACCCCAGCAACTCATAGGTAGTTTAGGGAATATAACCAATAATGGGATCTCATCTAGGAATTCCTGGCTTAAATCAAAATCAGGGGTCCAAGGCTTTAGGATTATCGGTCTATTGTTATTGGTGTGAGGCCCTTCATAGAATACTTTGTGCATATCCACCATTGATTGGAACTTAATCACATAATAGCCTTCATCATACAAGAGCAGATCAAGTTCAGTAGTATCTAGCCAGTGCTGCGCAATATACCTTTTCATTGCATTATAACAAGGATTGTCTCCAATTATATATGCAATCATCGCTGCACTCCATTTCTCCTCTTCCTCCACCACATCCTGGAGTTCTAGTTGCACAAGTGGTTGTCCATCAATAATTTGTGGAGGTATGTATCGAAGTGTCATACCATGTGTAGCTGCTTGATTCTGCTGAAACAAGTTCACCCAGGTTTTTGGCCCATCACTGCTAGCGTGGAGATTACTGCTGGAGTTGGTGCAGCAGCAATGTTTGGTACAACGACATCTATCCTGCTTGTAGGATTAGTTTGCTCCTCAGGGCTTTCAGTACCAAATTTTGGATTTATGGTCTCATTTCTATCATTGCTCAGTTCCTTTGGATTTTCCCCTTTCTTTGCTAAATTATTATCATCAGTACTCTGTTTAGGGTTAACCAGGGCTACTGTTCCATTGGTTTTCTCTCCAGATCTAGTTACACTAGCACTACCAGTTTGGCTTATTGTATCCCCTGTATTGAGCTTCTATTTTCTACTCACTCCAGCATCAATTGAAGATGATCGTTCTTCACTCATAACCATCTCCGCCAATTCGTGCTCCGGTGGTATCGTCTCCTTTGATTGAGGTGGAATTGACTTCCTAGGTTGACAGTTAGAGCTTACTGAAATTCCAAAAGCAATAATAGGTGATTTTTTTGGCCTTCCACATCCGCGACCTCGGCCTCTCCCCATGGCAGCCACAACCAACGTACATTAGCTAACGTACGCTGAGAGCATGAGAGAGAAGACGATCTATCAACCAATGAATTGGATGTTTGTTCAAAGTTCTTACTTTTGTTCTTAAGTTCTTCATAGGTATAAGCTTGGAATCGAGGGCATGTTCCTCATCAAGCCATCAATCGAGCTCAGAATAACTCTTATCGTTGGTTTGGCTGTTTATTACTCCCCCATTTGCTTAATTTAACGTCATTAATCACTTGTATTAAATTAATCCACATATCCTTAAAACCACATATAAATTCAATTGTTATCCGTTTTTAGGGTAAACATATATATTAGATAAAGTTTTGCATTTTATATTAATCTCTGCACTCTTGGTCTATAGTATAGTTCTTTACCTTTATAACAATCTACTAGTTCTTTGTATGTTTGATTTGTAGTATTTATTTTGATAAGTCCAAAAATTTATGTCATGTTCTTAATCGCGTCCTTAAATTATTCATACTATTTAATTAAGTTATCATCAAGTATATATTTTGTTAAATGAAAGATTTTCTTAAAGAATAATTGGCTTATAGTATTATGTTGGAATATAATCCCGTTGGAAAATATACGCTTGACAGTGTATGTCACACACACAAAAAAAAAAAAACCGACAAAAAACAAAAAAAAAAATGCAAAAACATACAAAACCTATAAAAATCAAAAGGATGAAACTAATTGGCTTAACTTAATTCCAAAATTTTAAAAATCAACTTAATTACTTTAGTTTCCTGTTTAAAAAAGCCGACTTAAACCTAACCATAAACACCTCTAATTACTAAAATCAAAATTTCTTTATCCGAAAAGGTATTACCAAAAGTTACCAACTTGAAGAATATATATATATCCTTTTTGTCTGTCTTTTCTTGGACATTCATAGTTCATCACGTCCCCACATCAACATATAATGTACCAGACCGTATTCTATCAGTACCCTCGCACTGTTATCCACGTCAGCATAAGTACCCGGATCCGTATTCGTACTGTACCCTCGTGTACGGGTCTCCACGTCGAGAGCTCAAATGCAGCAATCTCATATGGGTCGGGTCTACCCATATACGAAACCGTACTCCTTCCTCGACTCCCTCGCTTCAATAATTTTTTCACCCGCGAGAAAATAAAAAATAAAAAATAAAAAATAAACAACAAACCAAAACTCAAAGCTAAATCATTTTTTTCTTAGAATATCTCTCCAACTCGGCGAGCATTTTCAACAGTTTACTAAGTAAAAACTGACAACAGGTTTTCCGGTCGGCGAAGATGGCCGGCGGTCAGAGAAGTTACACGGTGAATCCGGAGGATTACAAGCTTCTAGAAGAAGTTGGATACGGAGCAAGTGCAACTGTGTACAGAGCGATCTATGTACCTTTGAATGAAGTTGTGGCAGTGAAGTGCTTGGATCTCGATCGTTGCAATAGTAATCTGGTAGGTCTATTATCCACTGAGTTTCAAAGCTGGAAATAGCGATTTTTATTGTTATTAAAGTAGAATGTGGAATTGAATTTGAATGTGATTTGACTCCTAGGTCGATGTAGTTCTTTATAGCAGGTACAAATACAACTGAACCCACTGTTTTGGCTCGGATCATGTATCAGTTGAGTTTTGAACTAGAAACAGTCGATTTTGTGGTTTTTTAAAACGGAGGTGTGTAGCTGTTTTAATGTTGTTTGAGTGTGACTTGACTTGATTTGACTCTAAGGTAGATGTAGTTCTTTATATTAGGTACAAGTTGCCTTTGGCTCGAGAATGTATGCATATGTTAAGTGAAGAATGGTAGAGAGGAAGGTCATTATTGCAAAGTTGGAAAAGTTAGATTTTGTGGTTGTTAAAATAAAGTAGGTGTCTTTATGTTGTTTATTAAGAGTGTGGAATTGAGTTTGAATGTGACTTGACTTGATTTGACTTTGAGGTGGATGAAGTTCTTTACTGCTAGTACAAGTACTACTGAACTCACCGTTTTTGGCTTGGATCATGTATGCATATCTGTAGGAATTTTTGTATTTAAGGAAGGTCCATTATCAACTCAGTTTCGAAGCTGGAAACAATGGATTTTGTGGTTATTTAAAACAAAAAGGTAATAGGTGTATTTATGTTGTTTAAAGAATGTTGAATTGAGTTTAATGTGATTTGACTCCTAGGTGGATGTAGTTCTTTTACAGCAAGCACAAGTACAAGTACAAGTACAAGTACAACTGAACCCACTTTTTTTTTTTGGCTCAAATCATGTATTATATTCGGAAAAGGATTTTTGTTTTTAAGGCCGGTCCATTATCAAATGAGTTTCAAAGCTGTAAAATCATAAATTTTACGGTTATTAAAAATTTTGAAAAAAGCAATAGGTGTATTTATTGCTGTTTTAAGAATGTGGAAGTGTTCCCTTATAAGAAGAAATAAGAGTTGTATGAAGCTTTGTCCTTTTTCATTTGGGGGAGGTGAGGACTAGAAATTTTCAGTGTTGAATTGTGGTTTTTTCTTAGCTTTGGCTCAAAAATGGAGTCAACTTTGTAGTGTGTACTCCTTGTAGTTTGCAAGCGACTAATGTAACAAACTTCATTTCCTAATAGCTTCAAGTGATAACTGTGAGCTTAATCATGAGTTTTTTGTTGGCGGTAGTTCTCGTATTAACTTCATATGCTGGCGTAGATATGCTCTCGAAATAGTATGCATATATAAGATGTGTTATGACCACATGTGTGGGACAAAGTTTGATTTGGTCAGAATAGCTTCTAAAATATAGCTAATTTAATTAGCTCAATATCTGAAGTGGTTGGAGCTGCTAATATTTGCAGGTTTGGATGTTCTCTATTCTTCCTTTTGGATTGTATTAGCATTTGGAAGATTCAGGTTTACTAGGCCTATCTGAGTATCATTAATCTTAGTCTCCAATATTCTCTTCGAGGGCACGCCGGAAAGACCAGATAATAATCTTCAATGCATCATTGTAACCTGTAATGTTATAACAACTCAGTTTTTTTCCCTGGTAAAGATGTCTTAGGCAAAATAAGCTCTTTGAGATTAGCACTTTTTTTTATCTTTTGGGCGGGAATCTTCAAGCACTAGACTCTAGAGAAGGTAACTATAGAATGGTGTCAGCAATAAAGAATCCCTTGCTATAACCAGCCTTAGACAAGTGTCAAAGAAGGTAGTGCAAAATGTAATTATGCTCTTCTATGCTAGGTTTTTCCAAGTGCCGACACAAGACTTGATATGCTTTATTTTGCTGGTGACAGTAGTTCATGACAGAATCTTATTAATATACTGGTATCTCTGGATAATACCTGCGGCTGCATAACCTGCACTTTTTCATATATTTTAAAGTTTCCAACATGCTAAATCCATTTACATCTTCAGTTCACAAGATTATAACATGAATGCTTGAACCTCTTTATGATCAATTGCTAGTATTGTGAAGTATTGGTTCTATCTACTCTCCTTTGATTGTTCATATTTTGGACTCTTATTTAAACTCAGTTATTTAACTACAGTTGAACGTCCTACCTATCACACTTCAAGCTATTGCTTGGTACGAAAGTGCAAAAAAGGGTATGCCCTTGTTACACTTGGGATAACAGCTTCTTACAAAATTCCAGTTGGTGGTGTCATTGTTTATATGTATGCATTGACAGATAATTACCTGACCCATGATTTCTCTTTTCTTTTTTGTGGTTTTGGTTGGGGAGGGTTGGTTTTGTGCGGTAGTAGTTATCCGTTTATGCAAAATATTGGAGTTGTTGGTTACTGTACCTAGTTAGACAATGCTTTCAAATCTCTATCCTAAAGGCAGAATTTTGAAACTAACTCCATCTGGGATAATCAACTCCTTTTTTTTTTTTTTTTTTTTACAATTTATTATCTTGAAGTTAAAAGAAGCTTGCCAATTGCAACTTCTACTTACAACTGCAGATGACAAATTTTAACGAGACTAGTTTGATTTATTCTTTCATAGAGAGATTTCCTGTCGATCTTGTTATGAAATAGGTAGCTTCATATATGTGGTATTTGATTTAGAACTTTTGCATTCCATGTCATAATAAGCAGCCTTATTTGTGCCTTCCAAAACTTCTTCTTCCACACCCCCCCCCCCCTTTCCCTATCTTTTGGTTCCTTATTGCACGTGCTTTTTAAATTGTCATTTGCTGACTATTTAATTGAACAAAGTACCACTTTTTGAAAAAACACCATTTTGCCTTTTAGAGGAGTAAACACTGCGACACTGCAAAGGAAGACTTCTATTTGTTAGAGTCCTACAGTCCTGCTTCTATATGTTTTTAAGACAAATTGTACTTTTTCACAGGATGATATTCGCAAGGAAGCTCAAATAATGAGTTTAATTGGCCATCCAAATCTAATAAAGGCATTCTGTTCATTCGTTGTTGATCACTATCTTTGGGTGGTAATGCCCTTCATGGCTGAGGGTTCTTGTCTACACCTCATGAAGATAGCATATCCTGATGGATTTGAAGAAGCTGTTATTGGTTCTATCTTGAAAGAAACTCTTAAGGCTTTGGAATATCTACATCTACATGGACACATTCATCGAGATGTTAAGGTTTTTGAAACTAAAGTTCCCTCCTGATGTTGATTCTTCAACTGGTGATATTTGTGTTTTTTTGGGGTGATATTTGGTGTTATTTCAGGCAGGGAATATATTGCTGGACACTAATGGGGTAGTAAAGCTCGCCGACTTTGGGGTTTCTGCATGCATGTTTGACAGGGGTGATAGGCAGCATTCTAGGAATACCTTTACAGGAACTCCATGCTGGTGAGTGTACAAGCATCTTACTGCGCGATTCTCCATCCGTCGTCTTTGTTTCTTTGAATGTTTTTTGTTTTTCTCAAAGTATTTCAACTGATTTTGTAGGATGGCACCTGAAGTTTTGCAGCCTGGAACTGGATATGATTACAAGTGAGTTTACTTGTCACTGTATAAAATCTTGTTGCTGAGCAAGCTCCGCACAAGTTTGTATACCTGGTTAAGATGTGATATTGAACTTTGATTAAAAATGCATGGATATTTCTACTAAAATATTTACTTATACATGGTAACAAAGAGTAATTACCAGGACTAATTTACTTTTTGAGAGGCATGATTTGTTCATCGTCCTTCTACAGAGCTGACATTTGGTCACTTGGAATTACTGCCTTAGAGTTGGCTCATGGTCATGCACCATTTTCAAAGTACCCTCCAATGAAGGTATATATTCATTAACAAAGAGTGTTAAAGAATAATACTAGCTATATGCTTGTGTATACATTACATGAAATTATTGGCCTTGGTTCTCCTGTGATAGGTTCTGCTCATGACCATAAATAGTGCTCCTCCTGGACTTGATTATGACCGTGATAAAAAATTCTCTAAGGTAATTTTTTTAGTTTGAACTGGTTGATTTTGACGCTGGATATATTTGGATGATCTTGCTCTAAAGGTGTGATGGTTCAACGTTTATGTTCTTTTCATGTATGAAATACCAATTTTTTTGGCTTTTTAATAGTCATTCAAGGAAATGGTTGCAATGTGCTTGGTGAAAGATCAAACTAAAAGGCCAACTGCTGAAAAGTTGTTGAGACATTCTTTTTTCAAAAATGTGAAGCCTCCAGAGATCTCTATAAAGAAACTGTTTGCCGGCTTACCACCACTGTGGAATCGAGAAAAAGCCCTCCAGGTATCTCATAATAGTTCTGTTCAAAGATTTTCCCTGTTTAGCATCATTTAATTTTTCCTTGATGAATATACTGCAGCTTAAAGATGCTGCACAACTAGCCATGAAGAAAATGCCTTCATCCGAGGAGGAAGCAATATCACAGGTTTGAGGCAATTGTTAATTGATGGCATTTTTGTTGCGTAATACTGTGCTCAACTTCCCCAAAAAGGGGAGATCTGCTACTTCGCTTCTCGCTTTGCAAAACTCTGTTTAAGCTTTCCTTTAATACTTTGCTGCCTTTTGACGGGTAGACCATCCTCAGTTTCCTGCGTTTATACTACGCTTGCTTTTAGCCAAAAAGCCGAGAAAGGTACTCGTCAGTTTCCTGTATTTATTTGTTCTCCAAAGCGCCTATGCTATACTTTTTCCATATGCTCTTGGCTGAAATGGTTGCATACGTGCATTCTGCCTAGGCTTAGGGCAATTCTTGGTATGAAAGCAAAGAAATTTTCCTTTTTGGGGTGGTTTGCTTGAGCCTATTAGTAACTTTAGCTTAAAATTTCTTAATTTTCTCTACCAGTAGCACCTAAGATTGAATATAAACAGGATGGTTGACTCCTTTGATATTGTTCTGATCTAATATCTTGTATTCTCTTTCCAGAGTGAATACAAACGAGGTGTTAGTGCCTGGAACTTTGATCTGGAAGATTTAAAGTTTCAAGCTTCAATGGTATGTACATGAGAAGACATCTATAAAGTGATATAGATAATTTTAACTTGTTCTTATGTTTTTCCTGAACCCAAGTAAGACAGAATTCTCTTTCACTGCGGCAGGTGCAAGATGATGACGAAATACCGGAGTTTAGGGAAGAAGATGAAAGCATGAAATCTTATACGAACTACAAGGTCCTTACAATGTTATTGTAAACAGTTTTTGAGTTATATTTTTGTCTTATCAGAAAAGGTTTTGAGTTATATTTCAAGTTACCATTTGCATTAGATAATAATACATGCTATTATTATACAGGAGAATTTGGTTTCTGCAATCAACGATCGAAAACCTTCCTTAAAACAAGATACTCTTTCCAGGTACACACGACACTATTTCTTTTCAGTGACTGTAGAAAATACCATTTTATCTACTCCAAGTTACATAGTTAGGCGGTATGAAACAGTTAACTTGCAATTTGCAAAGAAATACCAAGTTAGTTTTTGATGTTTTTGTAGCGTTAATTAGCAATGAGGAAAGCTGGCCGTTGGTTTGAACTTCAAATATTAATCAGCTTGAGTTCTTTAAGCTTAATAAAATGAAGCCATAAATGATGTGTCTTTTCATCAAAAGTTTGTTATAGGGGTTTATATCTTCGAATGGCGCCAATAGTTATTTTTCTCAAAGGTAGCATGATAATATCTGTCTCCAGGAGAAAATGTTAAAAATTTTTGTTATTAACATCAACGTATGATAGATTGGGTATCATGTGAGAAACTATACCATTCTCTTTATGTATCTTAAGTATTATATCAATAAAATTTTATTGATTTTTTCCTCAATACTTTCTATTTCCAGTGAGCAAGAAGGTGTTGGTGAAGTGACATTAGCTGAATGCCAGAGAAAGACTGATTTGGCATGTAATAAACTGGATTCCGACCATCAGGAGAAAGGTCGACTAAAAAAAAATTCATCAAAAACAGAGCTGCCGCCCCTTACCTCAGACAAAGATGCAGTACACGCCAAGAGTAGAAGTCAAACACCAAAAACTCATCGAAGTGTGAGCGGACCGCTTATGCCAGGTGTTATCCTAAGTCATTCGGCATCAGAAAGAGCTCACAACTTTGAAAGGTCTTACAGAATTTATTGTTTTGTTTTATCTGCTGTTTCCTGTGTTGCACCAAAACAATATGAAACCTGATGATTCAGTAACAAAATAGCCATTTCCTTCAGTTCATTAATCAGCTGTTATGTCTGACAGAAATTGGTCAAAATTTCCTTGCGCGTGAAGCTTTTGGAACCATATGCTTGAAATTGGTCTCTTTACCATCTTTGTGGCTGGTTATCCATTTCTTTTTCAGATCATTATTTATTTTTGAACAATTAGAATGCCAACAGACAAATAATTGTCATTGTCATGTTTAGCGCTTTAGTAACTTCTTATCGAGGCTGACCTTGAGACTAGGAATTAGTTCAATATGGTGTTATTTGTTGTGTTTACCAGCTGGTTTGTGCACAGCGAAGTATGGTAAAATTGTTAATTTGTTGGCCCAATGGTATTATATGTTTTTTATTTGTTTTATTGCTACATGTTATCTAAAAACAAACTTTGCCGCACGTAACTTATGTTTCTGTTGTAGAAGCAAGATTGAAAACCAACAAGTGGAAAAAGCTCATCAAGTACGAAGAGCGCCCAGCTTTAGTGGCCCTTTAACGCTTCCAAACCGAGCTTCAGCTAATAGTAAATCAGCTCCAATTAATTCATCTGGGGGTACTAACACATTCACTGCAAGTTCTTTAACTAAAATTGTTTTGACTATGTTTTATAGGAATAGTCATGCTGAAGCTGGATTTTGCTTTACGCTAATAGTAATTATTCTCTCTCGCCAGGATTAAAAGATTCTTTAGATGACAAATCAGTGACAAACTTGGTTCAAATAAAAGGGAGGTTTTCTGTAACCTCAGAAAATGTAGATCTTGTTAAGGTACATCATTTCTTTTAAAATCTCTCCCTTTTTGGTGACAATTTTCTTACCTATATTTGTATGCTAGGATATTGCTTTATGTACCTTCCATTGACATTTTTCTCAAGTAAGCTGTTCAGTGTTGCCTTTGTGTTTCAGCATAAGACAATATATGTCCTGTACTATCTTTGACATAAGATTCATGTGATACCCAGGGGTCACAATTGAGGAAGGCTGCTAGTGTTGGAGACTGGATATTGGATTCCAAACTGATGGTTCGTGAATTGGTCCCTTCTTTGGTACCACAATTAAATGATTTGAAAACTAAAAAAACCTCCTTGCCCCACATTAAAACTCCGCTTCTTAGACAAGCTAAAACGAAAATGGAGAAGAAAAAGAATTAATGGATCTAATGGTAGGATATTGCTCATCAATTTTCAGCCTCCTGGTCAACTACTGAAGGAGCTTGGCCATGATAATGTTCCTGCCTCACTTCTGATGCCTCACCTACAAAATCTTTTTCAACAGACATCAATACAACAGGTAATGTTTCAAGTTTATGGTAGGAACATAAGACTACTAGTTAATGCACCATCTATTTTTCTTATTGTTCTAATCTCTCCCTATTGAAAAGAGAACCACTCCTTATTTCTACTGTTTTTCTATTACCAGGATCTAATTATGAATCTGTTGAGTAGCTTGCAACTATCTGAGGCAGGAGATGGTGAGTAAACATCTAATGATATGTCTAATCTTATTACGTAGAGAACACGTGTTCCAATGGTAACATGGTTTCTGGATTATTTTGAATATCTTGGTTTCTCTCAGCTTCGCAACATGGAAAGTTGTCTTCTCCACAGCGTATTCCAGAGAATAATGGAAGTGTAAGTACACTGTTTTTGCATTTACAACATGATTTTTATTCTAGAAAACATATTCCTTTTAAAAACGAAATACTGAAATTGATTTCTTTTAGGTTCATTGTGCTCATGTTCACGGTTTTCCTTCTCATGTGCTTGTACAGCTACACTATCCGCTAGTTAGTTTTCTAGCTAAAAACTTTGTTTTCTCATATAATGAACTAGAGATGCCTTGTCTCATACTTTTGAACTGTACTCCAGCGATTATACCTGTCAATGGTAACACTGAGCTTCTAAATAGTTTGGAGGAATTTCCTTGTACCCACGAGCTTTACAATTTAATGCTATGAACCACATGATAATTGGTCATGTGCAACTCTCGCACCCCTCATTTTGTTAGAGTTCTTTTATCTATTTCTTTCTCAGCTTTACCCTTTAAAAATCTTATATTGAATTTTCTGGTGCTGAATCCATTTGCATCTGCTATTATTAGTAACGCACAGAGAAAGTTGTTTTGTTGGTAATGGCAATGGATTACAGTATATAGTCTCATGTATCGTTTGACAGGTGGATGTTCCATTATTGAAACTTCTCTGGGCTGACCAATACCCAATCGGTGCTAGTGGCAGATGTTTTGATTTTACCTTTTACCTGATTTTCATTTTAGCCTTTACTGCATAGAAACCAAAGAAATAACTGATTTGTTAGATAATTGCTGCTGATAATATTGTATCAAACCTCAGTTTCAATGCTTTGAAATATTCATTTTTTTCAAGTACTTCTGAAGTATTCATCTTATATAGCTATATATGTATTACTTGGTATACAGCCTAACTATTCCAGTCATCATTGCTCTGTTGTCGCATTCATTTTCATCAATACTTTAAAGTTCCAGCTCGTTTGCAGGTTGAAGCAGCTGTTTCTGAGAGGGAGCGCATGTTGCTAGTCAAAGTATCTGAGCTTCAAGCTAGGTAGCTAAGCAGTGGACTCACATCAACTTTGTCGTCATGTTTCTCTTTTATACAGACTCTTTTCTTAAACTGATCTTATCGCAATTGCGCAGGATGATTAGCCTGACGGATGAATTAACAACAGAAAAACTAAAATACATGCAGGTGAGTGACCTAATTGGTTTTCGTTTATGCAATTTGGTGGATCGAAAAATAGAAATAGATAAGATATAGACTATGACTTGAGTTCTTTCAGGGGTTAGGACCAGCAGGTGCTCCCCCCCCCCCCCC